AGCAGCAGCCGCAGCAGCAGCAGCAGCAGCAGCAGCAGAGGTAGAGGCAACGGCAGCTGCTGTGCCTTAAAGGAAACTCAATTGAGCAAGGCGAGGAGGCGAGGGAGGAAGACGACAACAATGGGCGCGGGCGCATTTGGCTTGAAGGCACATTTAATAGACGATTTAAGGCGAGTCAGCGAGAAGCTAACGACCCACGCATTGCATTGAATTGCATCCTTCAGGAGTCAGGATCTCAGCCAGCTGCCACGGCTGCCGTTCCATATTGCCTTTTGCATAAGTTGGTTCTGGTTGGCTGGCGCTCGAAATGCAGAGCGAGAGCTCGGAAAGTACAGCCGACAGCATGTATCCTGCTAGCGTATCCTGCGAGTCGCACACATTTGTAGCTGGTCGAATGCAAATTTATGCAAATCGTTCACCCACCCAGGCCCTGGCACTGGCACGGCACTACCGGGCCTCTACCTCGGCACAGGTGTGTGATAAACGCCATGTAAATGCCTTGGCAGGATACGAACAGGATATGCACTAGACGCATTCAACAACTGACGGCCCAGCGGAGGGTGGCTCAACGACTTCAACTTTCACGTACCTTACCGTACCTCTACCTCGATCTATGCGCTCGCCTCTACCTCCGCTTAGTCGCCCTTCCGTTTTATGTTTATGAACAAATTGTTGTAGCCTAGATTTCGGTTATGCTACAAATATTACAAATACAAAGGGTTCCCATGCTCCTTCACCTAGTGGCAAGCTGGGCGTATTGGCTTTACTCTATCTACTCTAACTCTGTGTTGGGCATTTTCAGCCCTTCTTCTTCTCCATATTTATCAAGCCGTCAATCAAGTTGCAACCAATCCGCCTCTCCCTTGGTCTACCCATTTATATATACATATATTTACCTCTGCCTGAGGCATGTTCGACTCTCGGTTGTCTATCCTAGACTGTTTGTTCATCCTTCCATTCGTCTTCAAGGCATTTATATTCTTGTTATTTCGAACGAGTATAATGCAGTCGGTTCCTCCTGATCGCATTGTTTCCAATTGTGTTTTATGCTTTTCACAAGTGTATAAATTAAATTGAGGTTAACATAACCTCAACAAGGGGCGAAAAAGCTGTACAGATACTTAAATATGCAAAGTAGGCTTACCCCGCTCTTAATATTCATGCTATATTATATTTATAGCTGCCTATGCGAACCCAGCACTCCATGAAGATATCCTGCCTATGCGAACTCAGCATTCGGTGATAACACCGTGATGAAATCAATATATATCATCTGTAGCATATGTTTGTTGTATAATATTCAGACATTGGAGATCCGAGAGATCTTCATATGAAGACTAACCTCATGTAAGCCCCTAGTTTTTCACGAGATTTGTTTGGGCTTTACGTCTTTTCCTTCGACAACAATTATGCCGCCATTTCAGCTCTTCTTTCACTCTCCCTCTCCCACTCTCTCCCATTTCGATTGACATAATTCACGTTGTTTTTGTTCTTGTTTTTACAATCTTGGCAATTTTATTACGATAAAAAAAAAAAGCATTTTTAATTAGAGATTAAAAGTCTTAGATTGGAATGTGAATTTGGAGAAGGCAATTGAAAGCTTTTAGCAACAATTTCGCTAAATTCAAAGAGCAAAAAAAACAACAGCAAAAAAAATGTGCTAAAATTATTTGAGACAGCCAAAGGTTCAGTTGAATGGAACCAGGTTCACTGCTCCACAAAGAGCTCCTCGTGGAAGGAGAAGCTGAGCCGCCGCTTGGTCGCCACCTCCAGGACGCAGTCACCAAACGGCACCCGCTTCGCCTTATGCTCCAGCTCCAGCTCCATCTCCAGCTCCAGCTCCAGCTCGCAGTCGCTGGTGGAGTTGTGTCCGCTGTCGGGGCTGATGTGCCTCTGGCCAGGAGCTCGGGAGTGCGAGTGTGCGTGGGCGTGGGGATGGGGCAGCTTGTGGGCAGATCGGGCCGCAGCTGCGAGTAGCTTCTGCGCCGAGTGGCGCACGCTGGACGAGATCTTCGTGGCGATCTTCCGTTTGCGCCTCACCACGCGCTGCCTGCGCAGCTGCTGCAGAGAGCGTCGCTTGCCCGCCAGAGACAGAGATGCATCTCCCGCTCCTCCTCCCCCTCCTGCTGCCTGCTGAGGAGAGCGTACTTCCCTCTCTTCGTACACATCCGGATGGGTGGGTGGCTGCCAATACTCGCTCAGGTCGCTGGCCGGATCGAAGGCGGGTCGATAGGTGGGCGAGTGGCTCGTGGAGATGGGCGGGAGTGGAGCGGGCCGGGGGCGAGAGATGTGGCGTAGGCGGGAACGAGGATGGGGATGGGGATGAGGACGGGCGCGAGCACGAGGCGCTGCAGATGGAGCTTTGCGCGTGCTCTCCAGGATGGCATCGATCATGCGCTCCAAGGTGACGTCGCCCATCTGAGTGGAGCTGAGCAACGTCTGGTCAGCAATGGGGGCAACTGCAGGAGCAGCAGCAGATGCAGCAGAAGGAGCAGGAGCAGGAGTAGAGGCAGCTGGCTGCAGGTAGCGCGGCTTCTCGAAGTAGCTGTCCGGGATGCCCATGCCACGGAGTGCGAGCAGCGCTCCTGGAATGATCCTGTTGTCCTGCGTGTCCCGCTGGCTGTCCGCCTGATCCTTGTTCTCCCGGTGGCCGGGCGAGTACTCCGCCTCGAAGGTGGGCAGCGTGCACGCATAGGCAGTCCGCTTCAGGGGGGGCGTGTGCAGGGGCGAGAGGATGTTGCTCAGGTCTCTCAGCAGAGGCGTGCAGCGCGGCGCAGGAGGGGCAGCAGCAGCCGAGGCAGCGGGCAGCGGCGTCGACGTCAATGTGGAGGTCAACTGATTCTCCTTGTCGCCCGCATCTACCTGCATCTGGATGTGGAGCAGCGATTGCCGCTTCGCGTTCAGCTTCATTCGCGAGGCGGCTATGGGGGTGGGCGTGGCAGTTGGCTGGAAATCGCTGTAGCTGCTTATGGCATGGCCTCCAGCTGCCTCTCCCTGGTCTGGCTGAGTCTCCAGGTAGGACAGACGCGGCTGGTTCACAGCCCACTTCAGCATTCTGGCAGCTGTGCGAAAAGTCTGCAAGAAGAAGGAGAAGAGGTAGATGGAACGGGTTAGAGATGCGCAGGAAGGATCAGGCTAGTTAGGCCTGAATTGCCATTGTCTATGAAAGGATGACAGTAGAACAGAAACCCGCTCGACTTGCGAAACAAGTTTCCTTTTTTTTGCAAGGATTCGCAAAAGCTGCAAAGCGGAAAGCGCGCAAAAAACGAACTAAATCGAATGAATGGAGGAAGTTGAGAAATTGGATAGATTCTGCTTCCAGCTGCGCCCCGAGCCGAGCCAGATTTGCTCTGCCCTCGGCCTGTTCTTTGCCATTTGCAATGCGATTCGAGTGGCCGCGCGAAAAGAGCCAAAAACACTTGAGAGTGCGCAAAAGCATTTTGCGCATTTGCCCGCCTCGATTTGCGCTCAAGCGCCCTTCAGATGGAACTCGATAAAAGTAATAAAAATAAAGGGAAAAGACTACAGCATTGCTGAAGCATAAATACCCTAGGCACATCAACTGCTCTAGGGATTACTTGGTGTTCAAATCTAGAAGTTGGGCTACCAATTAATTCGTGGGTTACCTTGAGCTTTAACTAACACGAATATCAAATTTCATCAGGATATCTTCAAGGAGAGCTGAACTGTTATAGGCAACTATATGTGGTATATATGTCGGAATCGATATATAATTTACTTTAAAGTGAAATGTTACACGATGTACCACCTGAATATGTATAGAGAAGTATCTGAAGAAGATTTGTCAACTTTGCATAACTTTGAAAAGTCACCTTTGTCAAATGATCTATATAACATGTTATACGGAGGATCTAACAATTCGAGATTAATGCGAATCGAATATGTGCGTTAGCTCGAGATATATGAAAATATAAACATAGACATTGTTTCGCTCAAAAGAGATCTGATAGACTTGGCTGTTGCTCAGGCATATTCATACCTTTTGATTGCACAAAAAGCACACATAGTCTAGGTGCGCAATATACCTCATTTATACCCTATACTATTGCGAGCCCAAACGAGACGCACGCGCACAATTTGAATGCATTTCGTATTGAAATGAATTAAAAATTGCGATGATTTTTTAATGGGGTGTTTTATAATTAAATTTCTCACAGAACACTTGAGCTGCCTTTTATTACTCTTTACGCTTTGCTCTTGGTCTACTTCATGGTCGAGATATTTAATGCATTTTTAATAGCTAATCACAATGCACTTGTCCTCGTATCTTTACCTTGCTTCAAATATTTTGTTGGTTTCGTAATGGGGGTAGCCCGTTTAGTCGTATATCCAAAATTATTTTCACACAGTCAAAAAAAATTTGTATAATCCGAAAAAAAAATCCGTAGAGTTACAAAAAAAAACTTATATGCCCGCGAAACGAAACGGAACGGAAAACGTTGCAATGCGGAGCAGAGCAAGACGTGCTGTCAGAGCCGCAGACGCAGTGTGACTGATTCTTGCTAAGCACGTCATGTTGCGTGCTCAGCTCTGTCCAGCCAATCAACCACCACCGCAACCCAGGCTCTCTTCATTTTGGAGAGCACTCACTCCCTCTCTCTCTCTCTCTGGCATTCATTTACTGCTGCATTGGCATGTTGGCTGTTGGAATTTGTGGGAGAGCGCGCCAGACGAAAATACACAAATGAACTCCGCTGCAAGGAGTCCAAGTATGAGTGAAGGAGCGAGCGAGAGAGGGAGAGTATTGGAGTGAATGCAGAGCTGCAGTTTGCATATGAAATCCTTAAGAAAACACGCAAATGAACTCGCTGCCCAGAAAGTGTGAGTGTGTGTGAGTGGGAATTGAAGGTGTGAGTGAAGTGCTGCAGTTAGCAATTGAAATTAATTCAATTTGTATGAAATGCCAATTGATTCCAATAACTGTAAAATCGAAGTTCACATTGAATTTTGTGTCTGCTTTGCTATGCCTGAACTTGTGAACATTCATTCATATGTAGAAAGTTGTCAGAGATTCGATTCGTTTTGAGCATTTATATACACAACAAAAATATATAGATTTTTAGTACCGTAATTTTTTACTTCCATAATGGTCTGGCGTCGATACAATCTAGTCTGCGGCCTTTGCCTATGCCTAGCCGAAGTAATAATCTTGCTATGCGTAGTCGTGAAGGACCAAGTCGATAAGCTCATGAGGGAACTGCTGGAGCACGTCCGCGTAAATTGGTGCCCTCCGGTGGTCAAGGAGAAGGAGGACTACTCAACCCAACTCTGGCTAAGCGCCATTGCTATCGGGCTGGCCACCGCTTGGTGGACTCGCAGGAAGCTGGCCGCCCAACTGGACGATGTGATCCAGCGTCAAGCCTTCAACGAGCACATGTACAAATTGCAATGCTATCTGTTGACCAAGTTGCGCAAGGATATCAATCGAATGAAGAAAACGGTAGGCAGGCGCCACAAGCTCACCTGTAAGTCATCAAATCAACCAAATGTCCGATTCACATTCAATTTCTATTTCTATTTCTATTTCAAGTCCGGCATCACAAATTGATCAACAAGTGCAAAGGGCCTTCTCCAGCAAACGCGTGAGCTTTTCAATTCCATCTATGACCTTCTGAAGAGACGACCTTCATTTTCATTTATTTGATCAACACATACAATCTAAATTTTAATCTCAAGTTTATTTCAAGAAAGTACACTACCTAGAGGGACAACGGCAACAATTCCAACAATGTATTATCCATTTCATTCAGCCCATTCGCATTGAATTTCAGCTAGACTCTAGTTTCAACCTATAAATGTTACTACTTAAAGCCATCATTGCGTACATTTCAAGCTAGTCCAACATATGTTACAATGTCAACTGTCACACACCCACTGAACCATCTAATATATTCAATACGAGCATCAAAGTGCATTTTCATTTCCAGCAATCGACTCGATCTATCGATCTATATACTCACATACCAAAGTCTTAGCTTCTAGTGTTTTATGTCTAGGTAATCCCTCCCCGTCTTTAGACCACGCCACTTCACTTCTGCTCGAGACCAAATCAATCAGAGTTCAGTTGCCTATGTAGGGGAGCTTCGATCTACTTCGATTTTTCGGGCTCTAATCCCTTACAGCTGTCCCAGGATCCAGCTAGAGCCATACAATAAACTGGCGCTATCTGACGACTTAAGATTAGCTAAGGAACTGCCCTAGCTCTGTGCCTTACCTACTTTATCGCAATGCCTCTTGCTCCCTCTCCCTCTCCCTCTCCCTCTGTCTATCGCGCTGTGTGAGGGATAAGGAAGAAAATACAAATAAGGAAAAAGGTAGTCAAAAGCGTGAAGCGATTTTTCCATTTTCGCAATTTTTCGGCTATGAGAAATTGCGCAATTGTTGGGCAATTTATTAGCGAACCGATTTGATCCTCTGTCCTAATTTATCTTCCCTGGCTATCTCCCTCCCTCTCTCCCTCTCTCACTCACTCGCAGCGCCTCTCGCTCTCTGAGCAGGGGCGTTTGGAGTGACCAATGCGTTAAATTGGCTTTGATTCAATGCCTGTCACAAGGACAGATTATTGTGAGGATCCTTTTGCTACTGCAGAATAAGAAGAAGAAGAAGCAGAAGAAGAAGAGGCAGCCGAAGCAGCTGCCCCTTGAGACGCGCGCGCGTTCTATGCTTAGAGTCCTGCTCCTACTCCTGCTTGATCATATTATTGATTTATTTCCATTAGCAGTCGCCTCTTTGTTTGTCTTTTCTCCTCTTCTTTTTTATACTCATTCACGAAAGTGAATCAGTATATTGGTTTTGTGCAATGTCCGTCTTGCTGTCCGTCCGTCTGTCCGTCTGTCCGTCTGTCCGTCTGTCCGTCCGTCCATCTGTCCGTCTGTCCGTCTGTCCGTATGAACGCAATCTATTTCGGCGCTATTGAAGCTAGAGACTTGAAATTTGGAACACATACTCGTGTATATCTCCGATTTATAAAGTGTTAAAATTTTCCCGATCCGCCCACTAGGGGCGTGGCAAATCGGAAAATGCATTTTCCGATATACCAGAAATCATGTTAGTTAAAGAGCTAGAAAGCTGAAATTTTGTATGTAGGTCCGCGTCGGCCACCCAAGATCACAAGCTATGGCGGATATATTTCCGCCCATTGAGGGCGTGGCAAATCGGATAAAACTGTATCTCCTAAAGTTGATGATTCCATAAAGTCTAAAAATAAAATTATAAGTCTACGCCCATTAGGGGCGTGGCAAATCGGACCTGAAGATATAGTGATTTTTCGAATTCTGCTATTTTTTTGACACTATTGGTGCCAGAGATCTCAAATTTGATATATATACTCGGGCTGATCACCCAAGACCAAAAAGCTTTGTCGGATATATGTCCGCCCACAGGGGGCGTGGCAAACCGCAAAAGTGTATATCTCCTCAAGTATAATAGCTAAAAGCTTCAAATTTGGATAGTTGAGTTACTGGTAGCCTCCTCTATCGATTCCCCAAAAAAATAATTTTTACGCCTATTTTAAGGGCGTGGCATATCGAAAAATACCCTGTAATTTTCACTTTTTTTTGAGAGTAAGCATTCAAACTTTGCAGATAGGGTACTGTTATCTCGTTCTAAAAACTGACAAAAAATGAGGTGTCTACGCCCAGTAGGGGCGTGGCAAATCGGAAAAGCCTGTATATTCTACAGTATTAGAGCGAAACTTAACTACTAAATTGTTGATGGGATGTGAATGAGTATTCCGCAATCGGTAACGCCCGACTGCAACGTTCTTACTTGTTTTTTTTTGTTATTGACCAATTGCTCAAAACGGGAGCAGCAGCTGCTCAGATTGGAAAAATGATCAAATGGAACAACACTTTGGATTATCGTAATACACGGCTAAGCTCCTCTAGAGGGTAGGTCTACAGCTGGGACAGCTAACGGACATTGAAGCTCCAATGCACTTTGAAGAGTATGCTCGACGAGCATATACCCTGGATTTGGCTGGGATCTGCTATTACACAAATTGCGTGGGCTATTGCTAGAGGTATGCAATGAAATATCATTATCGTTATTATTATTATCATATTTATACTCATAATTTGTATTGTTATTGTCATTGTCATTAGCATTTGTACTGCCACTTTTATTACTATTATCATCAACCTGAGCATTATCTTCAGCATTCCTTAGTCCCTGGAGAGCTCGTAGTTGATCTTTGAAATACTTGTCGCACAATTGAAACTGCAAATAGGAAGCAGTTTGTCGGGCACTTTCACTCGGAACTATTCAATCAACAATGCCTCCGTATGACATCTTCACACAGCACAAAGGAATGTTGACCAAACTGTAGTTTGAGTTGGCGAAAATGCAGAGAGAGGAACGCTTCTCATGGTGGTCTTCATACCGGATATAGATCTGAGATCTTAAGATGCTCAGACTCTACATTTTTCCGCTATCTTTTTTTTAGCTAAAATCCTTTGATGTCCATTCAAGACACAGGAAGAGCCAAGAGTTCTGCTACTAACGTATTTTCTTGATAGCTATCTCAGGCACATTCTCTCGCTCTCTCTTTCTCGCTCTCACTCTCTCTCTCTCTCTGTCACTTTCCTTTTGGGCTCGCACAGCTGTCGCCTTGGCCAATTCTCAGTGTGCTCGCAAAATCTCATAAATTTGCGCTTTTAACAAAAGTTGACGTTGGCGTCGCAGAGACGTCGCCGTCGACGTCGGCAGCGGCATATGCTGAGCCCCTTTGCAACCAATAAATTGCAAAACAATTGCACAATTTTCCACAACATTTTCCATTCCAGCCAGCCAGGCAGCGGCGTCGGCAGCGACGTGTCGACAGCGGCAGAGGCAGAGGCAGCGGCAGCGGCGCTTGTCCCATAAACAATAAACTAAATTGTACAAAGGTTTATACAGAGTGTGCGTCCGTATGTGTGTGTGTTTGTGTATGTGTGTGAGTCTCCGTGTGTGTTTGTTGTCCTTTTCTTGGCGAAAACTCAAAGGTGAAAGGAGCCACACGCTGCGAGAAAGGTAATTGAAAATTATGTTTTGTGGCGTAAGCAGCGCAAAGGAGCAGCAACAGCAGCAGCAGCAGCAGCGGCAGCTGGCTGACACACACACACACACACGAAGACACACATACACTTAGGCATACCTCGCTCGCATGTCTAGAGCCAACTGTGGTTTTCATTGCCAACTGTTTCTGACCACCGAATCGAAGCTGGGCTCTAGTTTAGAATGCCATACTTATAGCGAGTGCTCTATATAGGAAAATATGTATGTGTATGTAGATCATATACATATATGCATATTGCATACGGGATCGTATATTATAATACTACATTAGTATAGGAATTTAACATGTGCTAAATATAAACAAAGATAGATAGAGGAAGACTGACAGAGATAGTGATATTAGCTGTCTACAGAGTATATATGTATATACACCGTTTATATGCATAGGTCTAGTCCTTAATACATACTAATCTATATAATTTTCTATCTATAAGTATATTTTTACACTGATTTAGACCGATTTAAGACATAGTATGTTAAATATACTCATTTTCATATGTAGGTGGGACTATAGTTTTTACACAGATTACAGACCTATTCCAGTTACACTCCCCATACCAGTATATGCCAAAGGAATAACTATTTAATGTAACTAAATATCTCTTAAATTATAAGTTATCCTATGAGAATATAAGCATGGTCAAGAATCCATATATGATAATTAAATATTTATTAATAGCAATTGCTGAATATCTGAATGGGTATTGTTTTTATATTTACTACATTCATATGTATGTATATTATAAAGATCATGTTCCATATTATAGAATGTTCTTTACGAATTTTCTTATATTATTACGTAATTTGTATGTATTTCTGCTTATTTATTTTTATCCACATTTTAATAACAGTTCCCACATTTAAATAACATTCAGTTAAATCCTTGCCCAGAGTATGTCGTTTTTTGTTTGCCCACCCACCAGCTGCATACTTGGCTCGCTGTGAATGCAGTTGCAGCCTGATTGAATGCCTGCGCTCAGTCTGCTCTCAGCTCTGAGCTCTCTCAATAAATTCCTTAGCGCTAGATTCATGCATGCATGCTGCTCTGGTGCTGCGCTCTCTCTAAGCTGCCGGCGCAAGCGTACGCTTGCCTACTCACCCTCTCTCGCACACCCATACTCCTGTTCATTCGTGCTCTCTCTCTGTATGTATGAACGCAACACGTTTCTGTGCTTTGCTGCTTGCGGCGACTGAGTTCATTCAGTTAGTACGCAAACAAACGCCGGTTCGAGTGCACGTGTACGCTTCGATGCCGAGAAACGAAAGCAGAGACCAAATATATACGAAAATAGTGAAATATTTGATAGGCAAAGAATTCGAAATATTTTTTTCTAGTGCTGCAAAATTTCTTGTGAAAAAGGTAAATTGCAAGTGGCAAACAAAGCGAATTCCTCAATCTGAACAGATTTCGCATTCAATTGTGCATATCATAAGAATAAATATAAATTCATTTGCGAGAAGTGGGCGTGGCGCACGCCCCATGGCGCATTCAATTGTACGTGAAAAATGCGAAGGGGTGGGGGAAGTTCATTTTTGCTGCTTCACTGATTTCTTGATTTTTTTTTTGGTCAGCCAAAAAGCTCGCATAACTTGGCCCTTAAATGGGCATATCAATATATATTGTATATATGTACGTATAAATATATATTTCTACATATGTATGTGTATATGCGTATGGATATAACAAGATCGCGAAATTCTCCGCCGAAAAGCGCGCCAAAAAAGAACTCGCCGAACAACTTCGCAGGAGTCGCAAACAAAAGCTAAAAAGCTAAGAAAATAAAGAATGAAGCCCAAAGCGAAGCTGTGCGCTGTAGTCGACTTCCTTATACACTGTTTTACCCTCTTTAACCAA